GGACTTAAGACTTCCTGGCACTCTAACTCTAACCTTCTCAACCTCACTACAAGCCATTTGTGCTAACATAATTATGCATTGTCCAGTTTAGCTACCACTCTGGCCTTTACCTATTAGATGCTAGTAGTGGCCACATTCCCTGGTGCGACAAAGCTGCGATCATTCATAGCTCTCTCTCCCTCCAGGCAAAATCTTAAAAACCACCAGAGAACACCCTGGGGATGATGAGGTCTGTTTGGCCTTGTGAGCTCTAATGGTCCTCTGCCTCGAGTTTTTGGATTGTTTCACATGTGCTCATAACTATTCAAATGCCCGGGCACAATCTTCTGAAGAGCTCATGTCCTCTCTCTGAGCCGGTCCATTTCTCCACTACTAAACTTTGCCCTCCCTCCCCACGTGGTGGTCTAGGAACTCCAGTGACGACAAGCCCCTGAAGTCTACCTAATCTGTCCCATCTCACAGCCTTTGCTTGCCATATGCCTTCTCCACAGTTCAGACACGTTAGACCAGATCCCCTAACTCCACTTTGACCCAAGCATATTTGTGTACTAATAAATATCAAGAAGAATATTTGGTATTCTGAGAGTGAGCAGGTAGGAGAAAACCTAGGTCCAGTGGTAAAGTTAACTAGACAGAGCAGTCAGCTGATCTGAAGTGAGGGGAAAAATAACAAACCAACACATGGATGCTTAGGGATGAGAACAGCCCCTATAAAGAACTCCTGAAAGCAGTGCTTTATTTAACTACGAAATGGCAAGAGGGCCATGGGGCTGAAGCAGAATGGACACAGGGAGTCCTGTGTGAGGGCAGAGATAAGTAGAAGAGTGACAGGAAGCTCAGTTAGCCGTGGCTGAGTTAGTCTTTTCTTCAGAACGTACTGAGACTATGAGAGGTTCTAGACAGACGAGCAACAAGATAGCTGGTGTGGGACCAAAGAGCACCCAGTTTAAGTCTTAAATGCTTCTTCATGGCTGGGGCTTTTGTTGAGACAGGGTCTCACTATGTAGACCAAGCTGGCTTGAAACTCGAGAGACCTGCTGGGATTAAAGGCTGTATTTCCTTAGGATTCCTATTGCTGCTTAGACACCAAGTGGGGTAGCTTACAGTTTCAGAGGTTTAGAGCATTATCATGGCAAGGCACAGCAGCGTGCAGACAGACATGGTGCTGGAGAAGGAGCCGAGAGTTCTGGAGCTTGATCCACAGGAAGTGACTGTTGCACTGGGCATAGCTTGAGCATGGGCCTCAGAACCACCCCACAGTGGCACACTCCCTCCAACAAGGCCACACCCAATCCAACGAGGCCACACATAGCAGCTTGGAGTAAACAGTCTCTTCTGCTTCAGCTTCCAAGTCACAGTTTATCAAGGATGAAACACAAACCAGGCAGGAACCTGGAGGCAGGAACTGCGGCAGAGACCATGGAGCAGTGCGGCTTACTGGCTTGCTAACTGCCTGCTCAGCCCCCATCCATAGATCATCCGGGACCACCTGACCAGGGATGACACTACCCACAATTAGCTGGGCCCTTCCACATCAATCAAGAAAATGCCCCAGAGAGTTGCGTAAGATTCTTTCCCCAAAATTAGGTATTAGGTTTGTACAGCTTCAAGACCATGGACCTAGAATAAAACACCCCCCCCCAAACTCATGTGGAGTAAAGGTAATTGGGGAGGGCTCCAAGGACGTTTGAAGGCAGTGCCCTAAGAGCAATGTGAGCTAGGTACAGCGGTGTGCTGTCACCGTGACACAAGCTGGAGTCGCTTTGGAAGAGGGAATGTCAACTGAAAAAGTACCTCACCATACTGGCCTGTGGGCAAGCGCGTGCTGCATTTTCTGGATTCATGACTGATGGGGAAGGGCCCAGTTTACTCTGGGTGTGCCATCCCTGGCTGCTGGTCCCAGGCGCTGGAAGGAACAGGTTAAAGAAGCTGCAAGGTACAAGCCAAAATGCAACATTGCTGCATGGCCTTCAAGTTTCTGTCCAGACTGTCTGCTCTGACTTAACTCAGAGACAGAAGTCAGGGCAGGAACATAAGTAACCTAAGTGTTGTAAGAAATAAACCCTTTCCCCTCCAAGCTGCTTTTGGTCATGGTGTCTTACCACAGCTATGGGAGCAGTATAACACACCTGGACCCAAATGAATCTGGAGAGAGAGGGAAGAGAACTGTTGCAGGCCATGTATGACAAGTTGTTCAGACATGAAAGCCGGCATTAAGTAACTGTTAGAATGTCAAGTACAGGAACGATGTGTAAGGTAACACATAGCAGAGGTTGACACAGCCCAAATCATAAAAGGCCACTGCTAATTTTATTAACTTACATGATGCATGAATCTACAAATCAGTAAGAAAATACAAATATCCTGTATTAATCAGGACAGAAGCCAAATACAATTATCTAAACAAGGAAGGGACTTTATTGGCTCACAAAACTTTAAGTCAAGAGGTAGGGCAGGCTTTAGGCACAACTGGATCTAGGGCCTCCAGAAAAATGACATCAGAACTTAGTTTCTCACCGCCTCTGCTAGGCTCTCAAGTTTCTCCTCAGATACTCTCTCCAACAGTAAGAATTCGGTTCCCATCGCCCTTGGGTCCCCGGTGTCTCCAAAGCCTCCTTTGCAGTGGTTGCAGTTCTGTGGAGCACTCTCCTTAGCCCGCTTCAATCACACGCCCACTCTCTACTTACTCTGACTAGTGTGGCTCAGGAGGCAAGGCCTGGTCATGTGCTCACCAAAGCCATATGGAATGGGTTAACCACAATAAATAAGGATACTGTTACCATAAATGAGGGAGGAGATGCTGAACAGATACCCACACATAACCCAACATAAAGGCAACAGGAGCTATGAACGAACAATCCTCAGGCAATTATAAATGACCAATAAACACGAAAAGAACATGTGCACTCTTCATGGGGCAATGCAAATAAGGCAGCTTTCTTTCTGCTCTCCGTTTCCCAAACAGATAGGGACTATGCAGTGTAGGTCAGGCTCTGCAGGGGTGAAGGTGGGAGACAGGAGTGTCAGACAGCAAATGCTCTACAGCCAACCATTGCACCACAGGATCTTAAAGACCAGAATACATAAGACAAAATGTCTTAAAGTGCATACGGAATCCTGTTTATTTTAAAGGTGTCCACATTCCTGTATATTCATGTGGAAATGTGTGCCAACTGCACTAGGATGTACAGTAAATTGGAAACTGACCTGGGGAAAATGGTCTTTCTTACATTTATATCTTAATTTTATATGATGTTAACTGTAGTCATTTATACTTTTATAATTAAAACAAAGAAAGAAATGAAATAAATAAGACCAGAACAGGACATAAGAACAGCCAACAAACAAAAAAACGTGCCTTCATACTAATAAAGGAATTAAAAAAAAAAAAGGAAAAAAAGAACTGGCCTATAAGACCAGCAAAGCATTTCCAGAATGCAGTACTGACAGGAGTACAAACAGGCATTCTTACTCTTAAATGAATTTATAAGTTAGTCTAGCTTTTTAAATTGTTATTTCCTCAAAAATGTCAGTTATCTTCTGACCCAATAAATCCATTTCTAGTTACTTGTATTACAGGGACAACTACATAGGTAGTAAAATGGGTGCTTATGGATGTCAATCATATCTATTATGCACAGAGAGCCTACACACTGCTCAGTGGGCTGGGGAGATGGACTGTGTCACGATGCAGTGGACACTGTGTAACTAGGGGGATGTGACATCGGTGCAGGAGGGAAAGCACGTCTCCTACGGCGTCTCCTATGGCGCCTCTCCTACAGCGTCTCACTACAGCGCGTCTCCTACGGTGCGTGCACAATGAGATATGGCGCGCCTCAGGTTTGCTGACGAGTGAAGCACTTTAGTAGCTGCCTGTACTCAACCCAGGACTCACTATTATTTTAAAAGATGTTTGCTTAAACGTGTGTAAGAGGACAATAAACCAGGTAACCACCATTTCTGATTAAATCTGATACATTTTTTATCTTGTTTCTTCATTGTGAAAATTTTAAATGGGTATATATAACTTCCAAGTTTGTTAAACAAAAGATGTACTGCTACTAAACACGATTTGAACACCCATCACTTTTTTTGTTTTGTTTTGTTTTGAGACGGGGTTTCTCTGTGGCTTTGGAGGCTGTCCTGGAACTCACAGAGTTCCACCTGCCTCTGCCTCCCGAGTGCTGGGATTAAAGGTGTGTGCCACCACCACAAACAAAAAAGCCTGGCCTTGGGAATCCATAGAACTAGGTTTGTGTTTTAGCTCTAGCTGTCCATTTCCAAGTGCCACGATCATTGGCCTTGTCTAGTAGACAAATCCAGATGAGATTAAGTATTCCAATCCAATGCTTAGCTTGCACTTTTTTCAGTATAAGTAACCGCCCCTAAGCTCACACAGCTGTAAGACAGGCTGCTAATGGTCAAACATCTGTAATACATGAAAACCACTAAACAGCCTGTTGGGCCAGTTAGTGTGCGTGCCTTCACGTAACTGCTCATTTGCTAACCAGAAAGGTACTGGCTGGTCCACTGATTGGCACTGCTACATGTCTACTTCTTTACACTGGGTACCCCAAATTCTGATGTGTGGAGGAGATAGGTCTGAAGTCAGCAGTCACTGTTCCTGTAAATTGTCTAGTGGGGACTTACATCTAGCCAGAGTCAATTAAGTACACATCCCATTGCTTCCTTTTCTGGTTGGTATACCATGAGGGGTTTCAGACCAGTCCCTTGTCTGAGCGTCCCTCCCAACACACATAAGGTGTAGGAGCCAGCAAGACAACACCTATTTGCCAACTCTAACACCACCTCTTCCAAGCTTTCACACTGCGAAACAGTTTGGGCCTTTATGGCGAGTCTACCCCTAAGGTTGTTAAGTCTGGCATTCCACCCTGAGAGGTCACACCCCATTGCCTACTCTGTCATCCCAGCAGTCATTCAAATGTGCCGCCTCAAAAACCTACTGGGGAAGCGCCAGTCACAAATAAACACGGAAAGCATTCCAGGTGACTCTGTCTCGGAGCAGAGGAGCTTAGAGCTTTATTGAACATTACCTTGTTTCCAGGTGACTCTGTCTCGGAGCAGAGGAGTTTAGAGCTTTATTGGACATTACCTTGTTTCCTCTCACCACAGAGAAAAGACCCAAACAAAGTCCCTACATCTTCTTGTATAACTTAAAAATACATTATAGCGTTACTACATATTTATACTTCAATAAATCTTAATTGATAAAGCACATTTCTTGTAATTGTCATCAGAACTCTATGACCAAGCTTCATTCGGTCTCACTTCACCAGCTGGCATTGCATTTATTACTGGTTTTCAATAGGCTCACACAAAAATCTCACTTTTCATTTTAAAATTTGACCAAGCACCAGATAGAACCCAACTCGATAGAAATGTTTGAACTCCCATGGATCATTTTCCATGTAACGATGCCTGTCATACATAAAAAACAAAATAAAACAAAAAACCAACCCCCCAAACCTCTTCTACTCAATGCTTTAACTTCCAGAGTTTGCAATTCAACATCAGAACCACAGTACTTGGATTCTTAGCCAAGGCATACAGAATCCTACTACCAAGATATATCACTTTTACTGTTTTTTTTTAAAGAAAATTTGTTAAGACTGTAAATTAAAAAAATTCAGTCAATTCTGACAGTTAATAAACTAGTTATTAATAGCCTAGTTTATTTTTAAAGTAGAACAGTCCATTCAACAAGTTATAACTGCTAGGTTACTAGAAATTACATTTGGATTTTTAAGATTCAAAAATTCTCAAACTAAAAGAGTGTATCTTAAACTCGCCTCGGAAAAGTGCTAAGAGCTAACTAGCTAGCTTTCTGAGCTGACACCTCTCCCTGCAAACACAACACACTGGTAAGAGAACTACAACTCTGGGAATATCAGGTGACCTGGGAATGCTGACGGGGACACCCTTATGACTTACAGTGGAACAAACACCCGCCTACTTACCGTAGGGTTACAGTACCTTGCACAGTGCATTGTCGGTAGAAATGTTTAATAATAAATGCATGGATGTTTTAGCCTGATGTTCAACCCTTTTGTGCCAAAGGGATAAAAAAATAGCAAACCTGATATCGCTGCCCTCCCATCAAGGAATTTTCTATCCTTAACTAGGATGAGGGCAAAGCAGTTAGATTTGGAGTTTTTTCTACAAGCCGCATCATATAATTGCCTTAATTTTACATTTGCCTTTCAACACCAGCATTCACCACAAATCCTTCCATAGTGACATATTTACCTTTACTTTCACAATGTCTGTTTTTAGAGGAGAACTGCCTTCATTGGTAGGATACCCACAAGTTAGACAGAATCAGGTTTGTTTGTTTCTTGTTAAGTGTTCCTGTAGAAAGAAGACTACTTAACCGACACACTTCAATGTGGAACTTCTCCAATTCCCCCTCACTACTTCAAGTTTTGCCACCATCACTCATCTGAGATCCTAAGGCTCACTTAACATCGAGGCCTTGGCTGGACTTTACTTTCTATTTTTCCTAAGTATACTCAAACTGAACAAAGGAAACTAAATTTTCAAAGGTGTCTTTAGATGCTTGACGATGGGCTTTTAGATTTTACAATTCCTATGCTGCCTTTTAAAACAGAAAGGTATGTATCTTTACAAAACATTCCAATGACCAACACAGAAATAAAGTATTTGTCTGAAAAAGGAAAGAAACTGTTAAGAGAGGGACAAAGAATCAAGTAGCTCATTACTTGGAAAAAAAAGAGACTATAAACATCACATGGAAAATTTAGGTATTAACACCTGAATTATTTAAAATTTCTGTTTCTAGGCATAACACCATTTCTTTCAAGATAAAATGGTGAATAAAGATTTCTTTTTTTGTATTTCCCAGTGGATTTTCTCAGTCAACAGGGAAAAAAAATCTTTTCTGTATTACTTCATGTTAATTTTGTCTTCAGTTCTGAAGAAAAAGACCTGAGTGCTTACTGTTTCGCCCCAATTTTTAAACTTTCACAACATTCAGAAGTTTCTCTGCATTGTGTCTTCGCTGGTGTCTGAAAAGATTTGAGCTTTGACTGTAGGATTTTCCACACTGGACACATTCATATGGTTTCTCCCCGGTGTGGATTCGCTGGTGGTTAATGAGCCCAGAATTCTGGCTGAAGGCTTTCCCGCACTCGAGACACTTGTAGGGTTTCTCCCCGGTGTGCACTCGCTGGTGCTGCACAAGGATGGAGCTCCTGCTGAAGGCTTTGCCACACTCCACACAGCCGTAAGGCTTCTCCCCGCTGTGGATCCTCTGGTGAAGGATGAGCGCCGAGCCCTGGCTGAAGTGCTTCCCGCACTCGTCACATATGTGCTGTTTCTTTCGAGAAGGGTTTCTCTTTCTTTCAAATCTGCCCTTGGGTAAACACGTTTCTCCATATTTAAAAATCTGAGGAACACCTACATTCAGAGTGCCAGGAACTTCATGAGATTCTACAGCTGAAGCAAGCTCCTGCTTGGGGGCCAGAGCGCCATTCTCTGTCCTGGCGCCATCGTCTGAAATAGAGAGAGAATGTAAATACCACCCGGTTCCTATCTGAAGAGACAAGACTTGAAGGGAAAAAAATGGTTTTGTTGTTGTAGAGACAAGGTCTCACTACGTAGCCATGGCCAGTCTGAAACTTGCTATGTGGATCAGGTTGGCCTTGAACTCACAGAGATCTGCCTACCTCTGCCTCCCAAATGTTGGGATTACAGTGTGCACCACCATGCTTAGCAAAAAAGTTTCTCATGAACTAAAAACAAAACAAACAAAAACAAAAGTGTATACATCTATGAATATAGAAAGATGACAATTCTCAGAAGAAAAAGAGCAGGTGGATTATGAGACCAATGAGCTAATGGCATGACAGCATAACACAGAGGGTTTTACCTAATTTGTTGTTGTTGTTTTTTTTTTTTTTGGTTTTTCAAGACGGGGTCTCTGTGTATCCCTGGCTGTCCTGAAACTCCTTCTATAGATCAAGATGTCCTCAAACTCAGAGATCCATCCACCTGCCTCTGTCTCCCAAGTGCTGGGATTAAAGGTGTGCGCCACCGGCCAGCATGAAGAGCACAGACCCTTTAGAGAACCCAAGCTCAGCTCCCAGCACCCATACTGGGAGGCTCACAACATCACAATTCCAGGTGGTGGTGGGAGGAGGCAATTGAACAAGTAGTATACATATACACACAAATACATACACACAATACAAAAAATAAAAATAGGATTAAAGGCGTGTGCTACCACCACCTGGCAAAATTGACTATTTCTTAAAACAGTCAAAAAGTGACAAATAGATTATAAAAAAAAGGGGAAAAAAACAAACTGATACAGGCTGAAAGAACCTTTGGGAAGAAAAATAATGGCCACCAGGAAATGGTTTTTAAGAAATATCAAAATGAAGGGACAACAACAAATCTGTCTAACAGTAGCCACTGCTGAAGTAAAAGTCAGCGTGTCAGTCAGTCCTGGAGTCCAAGCAGAAAGCATGAGTCCTGATTAAGAGACCAGCACGAAGTGGGTGTGGTGGCACACTCCTTAACTCCAGCACTTACAGGAGGCAAAGGGAGGCAGAGGTCTGGGACCTCAAGGCCAGTTCCAGACCAGTCAGACCCACAGAATGAGAGCAAGTCTCAACATAACAGAACAAACCAAACAAAACAGCTATGTTATCTTAAGTCATGACACTTAAAACTTCAATACACAATAAATGAAAAGATCTGTGCTAAAGAAACTTGCCCCAATTTGGTATCTGTCACGGCAGCTAGAAAAATTGTTCCTTTTAAATCTTAGTGAGATGTGTCTAGGGAAAAAGCCTCAACCGAGTAAGTGGCGGTGCTCCCCACCCATGGGCAGAGGCAAGACCACCACTCACCGACAATTTCTTGAAACTTAAGCCACAGAGGGGACAGATAACGCATGGTCAGCAGCAGCACTTAAAAGTGGCCAATGGGTGTCACCAAGAGTAAGTCAGGTGAGAAAGCAGGAGAGGGAGACCCAAGGGCCTACGGGGCTAATGAGGCTTAGCTACTTCAAATGCCATTCTAAAGGGCAGTGGGGACACAGGGCATGAAATAAACGCAACTTTCTGAATGGGAAAGTGGTCACACTGCTAAAATGAGGCCAGCAGTGGAAAATCATTCCAAAATTTAGGAAGGGGACAAATTTCCTCCCCATGAAAGTGCACCTCCAAAGAGCAAATACAGTTCTCACACTGTCACACTAAAATGTCCCACAAGCCGAGAAAAACCAGTGTTGAGCAGACTGCACCTGGTCTCAGTTCTGCTCTACAGCACACTCCCCATACAGAAGGAAACCCTTCATATCCGACTGTGCGGCCTATAAGCTTTTCTCCACCTTCCTGAAACAAATCTCCATACAAACAAAATGCAACACAGCAATTCTGGTATACCAGGTCATACAGACAAGTACACAGCATTAAGTACCAGAAGATCAGAAACACCAAGTCTGAATTGTTGTAATTATATTTAAACCATAGTATAGCCTGGCAGCCTGGTTTGGATACATACTTAGGAAGACTTTAGCCTCCTCCTATCATTTCTGGGTTTTGTTTGTTAAGCTCTAGGGGATGTAGAGATGGCCCAGTGAAGAAGAGCACATGCTGCAGTCACTGGCAGGGCAGCAGGCACCTGTAACGTCAGGGAGCCGTGCTCAGCCCTTGACCTCTGAGAGCACCTGCACTCACATGCACACCTCATACAGAAGGACACATACTTTTAAAAAGAAAATCTTCTTTTAAAGTTTCTTAAGGAGTCTGGAGAGACAGCTCAGTGGTTGAGCACTACTGCCCTTCCAGAGGACCCAGGTTCAATTCCCGGCACCCACACGGCAACTAACAACCATCTGTAACTTCAGCTCCAGGGGATTTGACATCCTCTCCTGACGCCCAAGGAACCCAGCACGCACATGCTATACAACACAAATGAAAACTAAATACCCATACACATAAACTAAATTAAAAGGTGGGGGGGAAGTTTCTTAATTAAAAATAAGTCTGAAAAAATAAGTCTGGGTAGAAAGCAAAAAAACTGACTGAAGCAAAAAACAGAAGTAGCTGAAATTTTAGGAAGACTTTAGTAACAAAATAAATAAAAAGGTTGGAGAGTTTAAATAAATTTACCATATTAATACAGTTAGGCAGGGAACTAAAATCAAAAGCAGTGTAAAACAGACAACAGATAAACAGTGCCATGTACAAAACACACATGGTCTACAGGCACCGGCTCAGAATGAGGCGAATGTAAGCCTCAATATGGGCAGTCTTCATGAAGAAGGCTGGGAGAACAGCTACAGATGTTAACATCTAGGAGTAAAACACCCGAGGCCAGTGAGTCTATCATCAGAAACGCCAAGCTCTTCACAGGACAGCTACTTCTAAACAACAGCCTCCAAGTGTTCTGCACTCTGAACAGAAGCCACAGGATGTTCGTCCTCACCACAGTGCCTCAGAGAGTGGAGCTCCCAGGATGCCCACTTGAGCTGATTCTCTACAGCGTCAAGCTCAGAACTTGGTAATCCCTGAGCGTCTTCTTGAGATATCTCCTCTACAAGCACTTCCCGTTTTCGCCGACGGAGAGAAACCTGAAAACAAGATTTTAGTTTGGTTGAGAAGGAATTTTGATACTAAGCACACATAAAGAGAAGCCACAAAAAATGCACTACAAAGTCCTAGACAGCAAAGCAGTGTTGTGGAATATTTGTTTAACTATGTAAAGATGCGTTCCTTGCATTTGTTTAATTATGTAAAGTTGTGCTGCAGTTTTACCTTGCCTGTGTATGGCACCTGATTAGTCTAATAAAAAGCTAAATGCCCAATATCTGGGCAGCGGGAGTAGGAGGAGGGATTTAGGTTCACAGAAGAAAGAAGACAACAGGGAAACACCAGAGGCCAGCCAGCCATGGAGGAAGCAGGCAAGTAAGGACATACAGAATGAAAGAAGGGTAAAAGGCTCCGAGGTGCTGGGTGGTGGCACACACCTTTAATACCAGCACTCGGGAGGTAGAGGCAGGTGGATCTCAGTGAGTTCGAGACCAGCGTGGTCTACAGAGTGAGTTCCAGGACAGCCTCCAAAGATACACAGAGAAGCCCTGCATTGAAAAACAAAAACAAACAAACAAACAAAAGCTCCAAGGCAAAATGAAGATGAATAGAAACAATCGAAACAGGTAAAGTGAAAAGAGCTAGTGGACAAGCCTAAGCTAAGGCCAAGCATTCATAATAAGTCTCTGTCTCCATCTGGGAGCTGGCTGGCGGCCCAAAGGCAGTTCCGACTGCAGAGCAGACAGAGTGGCAGTGACGGGAGGAGGCACAAATGTTACTCTAACTTAGTCAAGTGAAGCTAGCCCAGCAGCTTGCCTCCGCTAATAGCGCTTCTGACTTGGGCATGTGAGGCGCGCATGCTCACCGGCTGTCCAGGGTCGTCCAGTTCACTCTCCAAGTCCTCCAGCGCCGTCACCGCCTCCTCTCCATTCTCCGGGTGATGCTCTCGAACCCAAGTCTGTAGCTCCTTGGGTAAGATGGCCACAAACTGCTCCAGCACCACCAGCTCCAGGATCTGCTCCTTTGTGTGTGTCTCTGGTTGGAGCCACAGGCGGCAAAGCTCACGGAGCCGGCTCACAGCCTCGCGGGGACCTGGTGAATCCTGGTAGCCAAACTGCCGGAACCGCTGTCTGAAAACTTCCGGGTCAGGGAGATGATTCCAGGAAATGCTTGACCCCTCCTCACCATCAGGATCCTCTTCTAGTTTCACTCGCAGAATTTTTTCTTCTTCATCTGGATTTGGGATGATGAGTATTGAGTCTTCTTCCACAGACTGTGCAGACATCCTGTTACAATGCTTCAAGAAAGGCAGTTGGGGCAGGATAGACCTCACTCAGAGAAATACTATGTTTTCCTCAAAGGTACTCCTAAGGCATAAGAAATAAAAGACGCATAAATTACCAAATACCCCAGGGTATGTGAAAGCAACAGAAAGAAAAGAACTTTTCTAACTGGATTAGAAACCCAATCAATCGTCTACTCTGAGGGAAATGCTACCATAGTTGGTAGACTCCAGCCACTCCAGCCTGCTGCCTACCACACTACCCACAGTAGTGTAGTGTAACATTTAAATGGCTAACAAGCATAGAAACACTTCATGATGGGAAATGTCACGTGTCTGTCTAGGGTCATCAGTCATTCAGTTGGCAAAGGTACCTGCCGTCAAGCCCAATGACTTGAGTGTGACAACCAGCATGTACATAGAAGAGAACATTATTTCTGCTAGGTGTTCTCTGGTCTCCACAAGTGTGGCCTTACATGTGCATGCCTACACACATACACAAAATATAAAAATATTTTTAAAAAATTTAATGGTTTAGCCAGGCATTGGTGGTGCACACATTTAATCCCAGCACTCAGGAGGCAGAGGCAGGCGGATCTCTGAGTTCGAGACCAGCCTGGTCTACACAAGAGCTAGTTCCAGGACAGCCTCCAAAGCAACGAGAAACCCTGTCTCAAAAATCAAAACAAACAAATCTTAATGGTTATATGTATTTTATGTGCATTGTTTTTTGCCTATGTGTCTGTGTGAGGGTGCTGGACCCTGAAACAGAAGTTACAGACACTGGGAGTGGCCACGTGGGTGCTGAGACCTGAACCGGGTCCTCTGGAAGAGCCCAGTGCTCTTACTGCTGAGCCATCTCTCCAGCCTCATAATATTTGTTAAATTTGTTGTCTATCATTAACTTTAATCATGGTTCAGGCTATAATGGTATCATTGATAAGGTTCAGCAATTTCTGCTAAGATCTAAAACAACTTAGTATTTACTACCTGGCCCTTTCCAGAGAGTCAGTCTGTGACATGGAGTCAACAATAGGCAATTAAATAGCCTAAGGAACCCATGTAAGAACCTATCCATAAGAATCAGCCTACCCAGTGTTCTCCAAATGTTCTCAACCCTTGGGGCTCAAGAACTGGCTCTGCAAGTAAGGATGCTTGTCCTTGCAGAAGGCCCAGGTTTGATTCCCAGCACAAAACTCTCCTGACCTCCCTAGGCACCAGGCAGACACATGGCAGGCACACACACACACACACACACACACACACACACACACACACACACACACACTAAAAACTAAAGATTCAGAACTGTAGGACACTTAAAAACACTTTGACATTTATTTTGTGCTTGTACATCTCAGCACAGGTGTGAAAGTCAGGACAAGATGCAGAAACTAGTTCCTCCTTCTGCTATGTGGGATCTGGGATCCAACACAGGCTGTCAGGCTTGGAGCATGAACCTACCTGATGAGCTACCTAGCCCACCTAACTTTTCTTTTTGTTTTTGCAAATCTGGAGTAGGAAACAGGTCAACTACCTCCTCCCTGGAGTTAGAGACTGTATAAGGCTCTTGCACATATGCTACACACACACAAATGCTTTTTAAAAAAAGTTGAAAAACAAAAAAAAAGTTTAGGAACTCCCTAAACAAAATATATGTGACTAATGTAGCCGGGTATGGTGTCCTAAACCTGTAATTCCAGTACCTCGGTAGACTCAAGACAGTCCTCATCTACACTGCAAATTCAACTGGGCTATTAGATCTTGTCACGGATTCACTTTTGCACAGTTCACATAACTGGAGAAGAAACGACTGCACAGATGTTATTTAGGCATCCACCCTGCCATACATGCATTGAAACTTACTGCGACAGTTCATCAACCGCAGCACATTCTATTAGGAAAAAGCACTCACAACTTCTCACGGTGGCCAAGAGTTTTTTTCGTTAAGTAGCTTCCCCTGGCTTTTCCTTTGGGGGAGTCTGTGAGCTACTTTCCGATCCTTTTAGTATTTGCAAAATCACGCCGGTGCCACGGTTCACAGCGCATTAAGAATGGTAAGCTTGGCCAGGCGGGGATGGTGCACGCCTTTCATCCCAGCACTCGGGAGGCAGGGGGCAAGCGGATCTCTGAGCTCGAAGCCAGCCTGGTCTGCAGAGACAGTACCAGGACAGTCAGGAGCTCACAGAGAAACCCCGTCTGGAAAAACAAAACAAACGGGAAAAGAACAATACGCTTTACAGCTACTGTTTATTTATCAGAGTCAAGAATACTAAAAACTAAAGAAAGCCTTACTGAAACCTGTCGAGAGGAAGACGAAGAATCAGAAACTACTGTATCACACAGACAGACCACACAGACCCGTTAACTACTCTTGAGCGGGACGATGGCCCGAGAGCAAAATTCAACTCTTATTTGTTCCTATTCCCGGACCCGACCCTATCTCTCAACGGCGCAAGCATTTCTACGGAACGGAAACTGCTTGTTCTTCTGTTCTGTACTGCACCCGGCTCGTGGGACGAGGAGGGACGCCGTCAAGCACTTAGCGGGATCCCAGCGCCGAGCCCGGCCAGCCCCAGTCATTCCGGCCGGCCGGTGTCCTCTTCCCAGCATCCACCGCGGAGGGCCGCAGAGGCCCCGGAACACCCCGCCGCCACACGGGACGGGCACTTCCGCCCTGGGCCGGCGGGACTACAAATCCCAGAAGGCCGTGCGCGAGACCCGCGGATTTCCCACCCCGGTGTGAGCGGCTCCCAGAACGCTCCGCGAGCCGGCAGAGCCTCGAAACAGAACAAAACCGGCCGGTGGGGGAGGGGAGGGCGTGACGGCGGGGACGCGGGCGCGGGAGGCTGTGCGGGCTCCCGAGGTGCGGCAGGGCCGCCGCCGTCCTTCCGCCGCGGCCTTCTCCGCGCACGCCCGCCGCCCGGCCGCCGCGCCCCGACCCGCGCCCCCTCCTCGAACCCTGCCCCCGCACGCCGCTGACCTCCGGCTCGGGACCCGCCGCCGCTTCGCCGTCCGGGGCAGACGCTGCGCCGCTGCTTACAGCCTCTTCCCACAAGCCCCCGGCGCGCGCGGCTTCCGGTCCGCAGGACGGGGGGCGGGGTGGGGGGGCCGGCGAAGCCCCGAGTTGCCATGGGGACGCGCGGCGAGCGGGGGAGGTGCGGCTGGATGACAATGGCCGCATTGAGGCCGAGCTTGGCCCTGTGCCCCGGCCAGAGCGGGCGCCGCTCTCCGTTCCGCCTCGCAAAAGGGAAAGGGGAGCTCGAGGAAGGTAGGCGGCCGCCTCACGAGCGCCCGTGCTCTCCGTGGGAACCCTCTGGACTAACTCGTGAGAGTGAACGCCTCGGAAAGCACAGTCTCTGTGCCCTGCAAATAAATAATCTCTTTTACCCCCGCGTCCCCTGGTGCGGGGACTTGTACTAGTCCCGCTCCAGGGCCGACGGCTCATTATAAGTAGGAAGTCAGGCTTGCACTTAACCTGCTGTCTCCCACTAGCTGTGTTGCAAAGGTAGTAAGTTATCAAACAAGATGAGGCTAGTTGAGAACTTTAGCTAGTCGACACAGAGAATTTGCAGAATCTGCATACTGGTTATTTATGCCGAAAAGCGGGCATAATCAATCAGACCGCCTCATTCCCCTATTTAAAGTCCTCCGGTGCATCTTAACTGTCACAACTGTGACACTAAGCATTTGTTACACTGCCCTGCAGGTCCGTCTGTGGTCTGTCGCCTGCTTTTCCCCTCTGGCTATGTCTTGTGGAGCCTCAGCCTCACTGACCAAAGTTCTCTCCTCCAGGAGGTTCCCATATGCTTAGGGGCACTCTTAGAAGTGATCTCATTACTTAGTTGTGCTTTGGAAGTCCAGTAAAGGTTGAGTCGTCTCTGTCCTGCTTTCCACAGTACCCCCATCTAGTTTCAGGATGCTGGCTGGCATCTGGAAAACTCAGTAAGTACGTTTGCTCTGAATAAATGAATGGACTGTGGTCTGGTGACATGGCAGCCTTTGCTAGGTCACATGTCAAGGCTCAGAAATGGCACCCAAGAGCCCTGTTTTGGAAAGTCTTGTTGAAGCTAGGTCAGGCCTTGCAAAACATGGAAAAGGCCCTCAGGCTTTGCCTTATTGTCTCCTTCAGGAAAGGCCTCTTGCAAGTGTCCCATGCCTCTGTTGGGTCAGGGAATGACCAGTGAACAATGGCTGACCAAACAGCAAGCCAGAGCTCACCTTCCCATAACCCCTGCTAACTCCTTCCAGCCAGAGCTCACCTTCCCATAACCCCTGCTAACCCCTTCCTTCACTGGGAGGCTGTATCCCACATCTCACTCTCCCGTTTGGCTTTAGCCAGGATCCAGCTTGGCTGCCCTCTACAGCCTTTCCCTCTCGAGACTCCTAAGAGCTCACCCCTCTTCCGTCTTTCCTGTGAGAAGTGCATCAGACTCTTCCAGGCTTTGTCGAAGGCTGTCGATGACTTTTAACTTTGCAGACATTTTGCTTGGCAGTCCCCCAGGGCTGTAGGGCTTAATCCCGAGGGTGTGGGAATCTCCTTACAGATGCTCTGAAAATACACTAAAGATAGAAATGGAAACAAGACAACAAAATTCCCTCTTCCAACCAGACAACTAAGATCAGAGACGACTACCAAAGTACGGCCGTTGTCCTTAACATCAACCACTTTCAAAGGTGCCCTTCTTAAGACAGCCAAGGAGCTAAGACTCATTACCTCATGTAATGTGAGTGATTTCCAGCTCCTGAAAAAGCCCTGCCCAAGGGGTGGTGGCATGTTAATAGGAGATCAGCCAGGGCTACAAAGAACCTGCCAGAAAACAGGACAAGAGAAGACTAAGAAAAGCACTCTCCCTGGAGCAGCTTCAAAGAGACCAAAGAAATGGCCTCATGGGAAAAAGACTATTGGGTGGATTTTTCAACTTCTGGTAACTAGTTGGGGCATACAATCCAGGGCCTTGTACATGGAAGCTGTCCCCAGCCCCAACAATATTATTTTGATGTTAGATGAGCCATTTTTAAAAACAACCACATACTCATCTTAATGTATGCTAATTTTTATAGTCTTTTTCATTTACCATTTTGACCATTAGTATGTTTATTTAACTATTACTTTACTGTTGAATACTCACCTTCTATCTGATTTTCTCAATTGCAAATAGTGCCTGTGAGAACATCTTCATGAACACACAATTTTCCTCCTTTCAGATTATTGGCTTTAAGTATATCATCCCAAGGTGGCTGCATATTGCAACCAGAAGAGAGTGGCAAATCGCACCTTGTATATTATCAAATAAGTTATAAAACAGAATGTCAATCATAGTGTTACCAGCAACACAGTAATTTTCCAGGGCAACGATGTCTGAATGCATTCTTTTGCTGATAAAAAAGGAAGTTCATTTTAGTTTATGATTCATTAGTAGTCAAATTTTTTTAACTGGACAGTGTATGTGACAGTGTAAGTTCAGCCACAAGTGATACACAAATCTTAGCGGTGTCTTTATGTAGCCTGCGGTTTTAGCCCTCACTCCAAGTGTTGTACAAGGCGGTGACAATAGAGATGTGACCTGAGTAAGGCCTGAGGTTTTATAAAGTTTGTTACCAGATGGATCCTTTACACAGCAACGTGGTGGCCTGCAGACTTAAGAGAATGCAGCTTTTCCCTTGCTTTATTCTGTTCTATAACACTTAGTAAAACTTGCTTAAGTCCTCATAAAGCCTTAGGGGGTTGTTTTATCACCATGTTGTAAAGGAGGAATCTATCACAGCAAGATGAGGTTCCCAGGGACTAAGAGGCAGGGTGGGGTCCTGATATCACCCTCACTTAGAGACTTAACACAGAGCCGGAGGCCCGAGGCCCACAACAGCACACCTTGATGATCCAAGGTCAGAACAATGACCTAGGGGACTGACATCTCTGGTTGGATCACAGAGGCGAAGGCAGGCTTCTGGAAGTCTCAGGAGGGAAGTCTCCAAAACACACTGCCACTTCCATTCAACATTTTGGAAGGAATCGTTCTGCATTTGCTCCCAGCTCTCCACCTGAGATGATGGAACAGATGCCCAACACACACAGTGGCCTGGAGGAGCGGGGTTCCAGCAGCTGGGGCTACCCCGCCCCTAGACAGGACCTGGGGGTCCCAGGGTGCCTCCTGGGCCAGGTACCATCTCAGCGGGCCACGGGCTCAGTGTGGGCTCCGGGAACACAGATGGCCAAGTGCAGGATGGGTGTGCAGGGAAAACAGGAGGGGTGATGCCCGTGCCTTGGAGCAGGTTTCATGGAGAATCCCAGAGAAGCCGGTTCCATGCTGCTTAGAGTCTTGGGGGTCCCCCGGATGGACCCAGGCTCCAGATGTGAGAGCAGTTGCCATGGAGACCAGGTTCTCCTGGCTTGGGCTTGGTGCAGCCAGAGGGTAGGCAGGGTGGACTTGACCTCTCATGAGTTCAGGATCCCGTGCCCCTCACTCAAAACCATCATCATCCCTCAGAGTTCTGTCAGCAACTAGGTAAAGTTACAGAAAGCAAACCTGAAGTCCTGGAGTCGCGTACAATCCCAGGAACCAGGAGGCTGCTGGAGTTTTGTAACAGTTTGCTGGTCCCATCTGTACACTAAATGTAGCTATGCCCCAAATGTCGATGCTTTAATGAAAAGGTCTGACATACCCAATACCCACCCCTTTTTGCTCTCAGAACATAATGGCCTCATAAAAAGATGAGAACCGGCCCGTGCCATGTGTTTATTTCTGTATCCTCAGGTATCCTTAAGTGCAGCGGGAAATTAAGTTGCGGCACAGACTTTGGCCTCCCCTCCACCATCTGCTCCTGGGGTGGAGACACACCCACAATCACTATAAGCTCACAACTGAGTTGGGGGATGAATTCCTGAACATCATGACGATGCCCCAGGAGTTGGAGCTAAGACTATAGACTTGTGGGAAATGCACATGTAGAAAGAAGGAAATAAGGAGTTGGACGAGAGGTCAGATGCTTGCAAATCATTAGTTAATCTGTAAGCAGGAGCAAGACAGACTCATTTGGCGTGAGGTCAGAGGCTGTGTGGTCCCACACTGGCTGTGAGCATACTGGAAAGGAGGAGAACCTGGCATCCTGTCAGCCTAAACTAGCCCCAGAGCGACGGGGATCCACGGTGCAGCCTCAGAGCGACGGGGATCCACGATGCAGCCCAGAGCAACGGGGATCCACGATGCAGCCTCAGAGCGACGGGGATCCACGGTGCAGCCCCAGCGTGGGACTGACGATGTGGAAGCTCCTAGTTGTCA